GACTGCTTTGGAAAATAGTGTGGCAGTTCTCAAAAGTTAAATGTAATTAACATAAGACCTAGCAATTCTATTCTTAGCTACTTAAAAACACTGAAAACATAATATGGCCACACAGAAGTTTGTACACAAATTCTGCTTCATTGCAGCACTAGTCATAGTAGCCAGAAAGTAGATGGCATAAAAAAGCTTCCAAGTACTGCTATTTTGGTCATCCTCCCTAATTCATGGCACCGGCCCACTGAGCTCCTCGGCATCCCAGCCTGCAGGGCCATACGGGCCGGCATTCTACCTGCTCAGCTAGCTCCCTGTTGCTACTGCTGTTGCTTTACCGGCCACTGAGGTACATGAGCTCCCTGCCAATTATTCCACTATTCTGATTACTTAATAATGGCTGTCAAAAATCCCACATCTATTGTTGTAGTCTTTCCTCATAAGTCACAGACACAAGTACACTGTAGCTGCCTTTTCTTCTGAATAAGGTTCACATTTGGAAATACCCTCTGGTCAAAAGCAAAGCACCCGGCTAAAGACCACAGGCATGCTGATAGTGGTCCTAGAGCGTATCAGGAAATTAGTCCTGTTTGCACCTGGGTCCGGCAACAACCACATGGAACAGAATGAGAAGTTAGGCATGCCAATAAGTGCTTAGAAAACATCTGCCTACTTTATGCAGGATGTGGTAAAAAAAGAATGGCATTGCTGTTTATCTAGGATTTCATTCTGTGTTGATCATTACGCATATATTTGTGGTTTTTTTTATTATTATTTTTTATTATTTTGTGTGCGTGTACCGTCAAATCAGATCTGACTGGTACAGGAGGATATTGCGCCTCCTTCTCCGGCAGAGCATCTGGTGGATTCGAACCGATATATTTGTGTTTTGTTTTAAATCTGTTAACTGGTACTTCTACATTCTGTTCTCAAAATCTTGTTGTTCCTAATGCTGATTCAAATTGTCTCTTCCAAAGGGATTTGAGCAAATTCAACAACCATTCAAACTCACTGACTCATGAAAATAGTTTTAAATGGGGCAAGTAACCTTTCCTCAAGTTTGGAGAGATGGATAGACTCTGTATGAGTCAGAGTTTGAGCTTTAAGAGGTGATAAGTCCAATTCAGAACTGGTCTCAGTATGGCATTCTCTCATTCAGTTTTGCAGTGGCACCTGCCACCGTGTCACACTACAAGGCCTGTAAGAAGCCACTTGAGCTTTCTGTGCCTAGATCTACCCATCTGTAAAATGGGGTCAATACTAGCAACCCTACAAGGATGTTGAAAAACAATGGCAAATATCTTTAATACTTCAAAGGGTAAGGTTATAGGTATGAAATCTATACTGTATGGTTGTTGCTGTTATATGTGATGGAGTTGAGTATGACACATCATGACACTATAAACAATAGATCTGAACCTTGACCTATCCTATACCATCTTTATCAGCTCTGACATACTTGAGCCCATTGCTGCAGTCACTGTGTCAGTTCATCCAGTTAAGAGTCATCTTCTGCTTTGCTTACCCCTCACCTTCCCAAGCATCTTTCCAAGGAATAGGCCCTGCTAACAAGAAGTCCAAAGTATATGAGATGAAACTTTGCCATTCTTGCCTCTAAGTAGCACTCTAGCTGCACTTTCCTCTAAGGAGCACTCTAGCTGCACTTTCTCCAAGATACATCTATTTGTTCTTTTTGCAGTCCATGGGATATTCTGCTGTGCTCTTTTCCGACACCACACACAGTTCAGAGCCATTGATTTTTCTTCTCTCATCTTTATTCACTGTCCAGCTGTCAGATGCGCAGCAAATTATTGACTCAGGACACCTCAGCCTTTAAACTGAAATCATTAGAATTAGTATTTTGGAAAGGTCCTTGACAGCAGACTTTTCCAATGCAATACATCTTTAGATTGCTTGACTGCTGGTACCAAGGGTGTTGATTATGGAGTCAAGTAGGATGAAATTTCAATCTTTTCTCCATCTGTCATGATGCTGCCTATTAACTGAGTGGTGAGGATTTTTATCTTCTTGTTAAGATGTAATCCATATTGAAAGCTGTAGTCTTTGATCTGCAGCAAGCCTCTCATATCCTCACTTTGAGCAAGTAAGGTTGTCATTTGCATAATAATGCAGGTTGTTGATGGAGCGTCCTCTAATCCTGATGCCTCATTCTTCTTCATAAAGTTCAGCAGCTCAAATGAATTGCTCAGTAAACAGGTTGAATAGGTTTAGAGAACAGACCTGATCCATATCTTCCTTGATTTTAAAGTAGGCAGTGTTCCACAGACATCGAGATTCCAAAACAAAGGGAAGATATGCCAAAGTAAAGAAAAAACAAAAGATTGCAAAGGGATGCTTGAAAGGCAAAGCAAAGTAATATAACAGTGTAAAGTGCTTGAGTTGAGGAATAAAAAGGAAAGAACTCGTATTTCTCAAGCTGAAAGAACTGAAAAAACAAGCCTTGAGTTGCAATAGAGTCACTGTAACAAAGAATTGGCCAATGCTGAAACATTTCAGGAAGCAGCATAAAATCAAGAAACAATGGTGATGAAGGAAGAAGTTCAAGCTTCACTGAAGGCATTGGCAACACATAAGGCCCCAAGAATGGATAAGATACCAATTGACATATTTCAACTAACAGATGCAGCCCTGAACATGGTTACTAGTCTATGCCAGGAAATATGGAACAGAACTATATTTGTTCTGATTCCCAAGAAAGGTGATCCAATAGAATGTAGATATTATTGAACAATATATATAACTAATAACACTTGCAAGCAAAAATTTTTGAAGATCATTCAAAACTGGCTAGAACAGTCACTGAAAGGGAACTGCCAGAAGTTCAAGCAGGTTTAAAAGAGGCTGTGGCACCAGACATTTCATTGCTGATGTCAGATGGATCTTGGCTGAAAGCAGAGAATACCAGAAGAATGTTTGTGTTTTTTTGACTATGTAAAGGCATTTGACTGTGTAGATCATAATAAACTATGGCTAATGTTAAGAATGGGAATCCTAGAACATTTAATTATGCTCATATGAAACCTTTAGCTATACTAAGAAGCTACTGTCTTAACAAGAAGCTACACTGCAAGTGAGACAAGCACCTATTAACCCTCACAACTTTGACAAAAAACAATAAAGGTGGTTGTTTGGCCACACCCAGTGTTTTAGTGCTGTAACCCTTGCAGCCAGGTGGTTAAGTGCTCAGCTGCTAGAAAATAGGTTAGTAATAGTTCATACGAACGCTGCTGGAATTGTATTGCCAAGCTAAAGGAGAAAAGGCTGGCAATCTCCTCCTCTGCTAGTTGTTGTTGATAGATGCCCTTGGGCAGACTATGACTCATAATAACCATATAAACAGCAGTCACGTACCCTGCCTGTCCTGCCCTGCGTGCCATCTTCACCATCCCTAATATACTCAAAACCATTGTTTCAACTACTATGTCAATCCATCTCATTAGGGGTCTTCCTCTATTTCACTGGCCCTCCACCCTCCCAAGCATGATGTCCTTTTCTAAGGATGGGTCTTTCTTAACAACATGCCTGACGTATGTGAGACAGAGTGTTATCACCCTTCCCTCCAAAGAGCACCCTGGCTACATATTCTCCAAGACATACTTGTTTTTTTTTAGCAATGCATGGAATATTCACTACTCTTCTCCAACACCACAGCTCAAAGGCATCAATTCTTCTGCTTTCATCCTTAGTCAGTGTCCAACTTTCAGATGCACAGCAAGTGACTGAAAGGACTCATGGCTTGAATTAGATAAACCTCAGTCTTCAAATGGACATCACTGCCCTTTTATAGCTTGGAGAGGTCCCTGACGGGAGACTTCCCTATTGTAATTGTCTCTGAAAACCCGTTGGAAGGTGAGCTATGAGTATGTGCCAGCTCAATGGTACACAACAACAATAGGTTCTTTGTAGGGTAAAAGATGTGATAGTCTGAATAGTCACTACCCATCAAGAGACCCCTTCCAGGACTGGAAGTTAAAGGGAGTCAGTGAGTAGAGAGCCTAGGATGCTCACCTGTGGGGATCACCTGGGTCCACTTGATGAGTGGAAGCAGAAGAATGCGGCAATGAAGAGACAGGCTGCATCTGGACTTGTTCCACTGGTACCCATTGACCCAGCACACACGGATACACAGAGTGAGGTTTGCTGGCCCAGAGTCAGGGAGGACTGTGTGATGACTCCTGATCTATTGACTTAGCCCATGTGAGGGGATAAGAGTGAGAGTAAAAGGACCAAGTGGTCTGAAAAGCAGATGTGTGGACCCTTGAGTTTACAGCTGTGTCCGCTGGACCTAGACTCAGAGGGGCTAGAGACGAGTTGACTAGAGCCAAACCAGATGAAGAGAAATAGGTGTTTGATGCCGCGAGATAGTGTAAATTGCTACAACCTGATAGTTGACTCTGGACAGAGCACTGCTTATAGATGCAAAAGCTCAAAGTTTTCTACCTGCAACAGAAGATTCTTCAGAGAGGGTAAGTGCTTTGATATCGATGGGCAAGTTAGAAATTGGCTACCTACAATGAGGGACATAATGGCTCAGTCATGAAGTATCTCACTTAAACACTTTCATGAGCAGTTATGAGATGGCGCAGCCAGAGCCAGAAAGCATGTGGTGATGGGTGAGACACCCTCAAGGCAAAAGGTTTCCACTAATAAAACATGTCCGCACTCTTCTGCAATGAGCACTAGGTTCCTGTTGCTTTCCAGACAGAACCTGCTTAAACGGATTCTTTTAAGTATGAAATCCACTGTCCTCCAACCACTACCATAACCTTCCACTAGAGGCAGTAGAGAGCCGTGTGGTAGCACAGTACTTAAACTGGCATCTACAAATGGGACAATGACCAAATGTTCACTCATCCACGTTTAAGGTCGTGTTCTTCAAAGGACTGGCAGAGTGGACTCCTGATCCCTTCAGTGAGGAAAGAATAGTAACTTAGACACAAGGATCAAGCTCCAGTATTAGATGCCCATTTCTATTGGCAACACATAGCTTACAAAACCAAGCATGTCTATCTTAAGCTACAGTATTTCAGGTTTCTCTGCTATAATCCTTTACTTAGTCCATATACCAACTAACAGAAATCCCTGGAAAATCTTGGCTAACCTCTTAGTGTTGACAATCAATGGACCATAAAATGCTGCTCTCGGGATAAAAATTAAATTTGTTCTATTCCTATTCTTTGTAAAAAGACAGTCTAGGTACTCTCCCTCAGATTAATCCCTGCTTTTCTAGGAAATATCTCATGTGTTTGATTTGTTTGTTTATACTTCAATCCCTAATATCTGCTTGCTAGATTTTAAGCAGATGCCACAAAATATCTTATCGCTTTATAGTACAGGTTAAACTGTATCCTCTCAAAAAGTAAGCTCAAGTGCTAACACCTAGCACATATGAATGTGACCTCATTTGAAAGTGTCTTTACAGGGGAGCTCTGGTGGCCTAGTGGTAAGGAGATGCAACTACAATCCCAGAGGCGCAAGGTTCAAATCCACCAGATGCTCTGCTGGGGAAAGAGGGTCAATCTCCTCCTGTACCAGTCAGATCTGATTTGACAGTACACACACACAAAATAATAAAATAAAATAATAAAAAAAGAAAGTGTCTTTACAAATATATTCAGGTAACATAAGATCAACCTAAGATGACATGTCTACTTATAAAAAGAGACAAACAGACATAGAGGAAAATGCCATGTAAAGGCACACAGACACAGGGGAAGATGGCCATGTCATGACACAGAGATTAAGCTATACTGAACACCTAGTACCACCAGACACTGGAAACCAACAAGAAAAGATTCCTCCTAGAGCCTTCAAAGATGCATGGTCCTCCCAGCATCTTGATTTCCAATTTCTAGCCTCGAGAACTGAGAGAGTATAAATTTTTGTTGTCTCAAGCCATTCAGCTGTGGTTCTTTATCATGGCAGCTCTAGGAAGCTAACAGACTTTCCAGAGTCTTAAAAGCATGCTGATTTTCACATTACTACTAATGCAGCATCTATCTACTACTAGATTGGCTGTACCATCTGATGTTCTAAGTTTAACACTCAATATCAAACTACTGTAGAATATCTGTGATGGAAACAGGAGCTAAGCAATTAGGTAGTAAAGCTTTATGGAGAAGTAAAAAAATCAGTGCCCTAATGTTCCAAGTTTGTTAACAGATTATCTCTCTATGAAATTGAAGATGGACCTCAAGATGGTTATCACTACTTCATCATTCTTCTAACCTTAAGCCCAACTTCTTGTTATTGCAAATGATGATCATTTTACTTCGAAGAGAAATAACAATTATTGGCATACTGTTATTAATAGTGTGATAATCATCAATAATGTTATTCTGCTTGCTGCCCATGAGTTTTTCTTATAAACAACAGCTTATACTTAGACAAACTAGATGGTGAGAAAGAATACTTTTTTTATTTTATTTCTTTTGGGGGGGGGATTTCCATTCATTCATTGTTGCATACTTTCCTCCCTGTCCCCCGTCCCCCCTGTTCACTTTTCTCTTTGAAAAGTAAAAAAAAAAAAAAATTCTTACATTGTTATATAATCCCTGCTCCCAGTCCACGCCACTGTGCAGCTTTCATTCTGGATTCTGGTCATGACAATAATACCTAATCATACATTCCTCCCAAACAGTTCTCTCCCTGTTCTGTTTCAATGCAGTATACATTACTATCCCTCCTTAATTTCCTTTCCAACTCCGATGTCAGTCCCGCCTTACATGAAAAGGCAATCTAAATGATCTGTAAACCAAGGTGGGGTTTGTAGGGGGAGAACCATGTCTTCAGCTTTTCAAAGTTTATTGTTAATTAATGTAGTGTATCCTTAAGAAATGTTGTGGGAGAATTCCTGGCACTTGTAAGTACAATACAATATGCAAGTTTCTAAAATATTGCATTAAATAAAACTTAAACAAAAATACACAGGCAAAGAGATAAGAATGATTTAAGAAATATAGCACTTATAAAATAAACATCTGATTGCAAATAATAATAATAATAATAATAATAATAATGTGGCAGTTTTCTCTCCCTCCCTTGCCTTTTATCAAATTACTCAAGAAAAAAAATCTGAAAACAAAATTATCCTCTAATCAATAAAACTAGAAGACTCATATCACATCTCGGATATTTTCTGATACTATGTGCCATCAAGTTGACAACTCATGGCAACTCTATGACAATACTCTGAGTCCTGCTCTATCCTGAGCCAATCTCGCTGTCTCTGACACACCTACCCCCATTGCCCTAGTTGCTGTGTCAATCCATCTCATCCAGGGTCTTCCTCTCTTGCATTGTGCCTTGACCCCCAACCCTTCCAAGCATGATGTCCTTCTCCTGGCCACATGCCCAAAGTATGTGATACAGAGTCTCAAAACTCTTGCCTCCAAGGAGCATCTTGGTTTCATCTTCTTCAAGACAGACCTGTTTGTTCTCTTGGGAGTCCATGGTATGTTCAATAATCTGCTCCAGCACCACAATGCAAAGGCATCAATTCTTCTTCCATCATCCTTGGTTACTGTCCAGCTCTCTTATGCATAGCAAGTAACTGTAAGGCACACCTTAGTCTCTAGATTGATATCCTTGGTTTTCAACACTCTGGAGAGGTCCCTGACAACAGATTTTCCCAATGCAATTTGTCTTTTGATTTCCTGACTGCTGGTGCCAAGAGTGTTGATTGTGGAACTTATCAAGCTGAAATTGCTAACAACCTCAGTCTCTTCTCCATCTATCATGAAGCTGCCAAGTGGCCCAGTGGTGAGAGTCTTTGTTTTCTTGATGTTGAGGTTCAAACCATATTGCAAATTATAGTACACAAAACATTAAAAACAAATGGTCTGACCAAGTCTTGCAGATTTTCTTGTTGTTTTATGTACCATCGAGTCAGAGGAAAAAGATAACTAACATAGCAATATATCTTGGATCCAGTTTCAAGGCTAGTTAGATATTTTGGAGCAAGAAGAGTAACAATAATAATCTCACTTTTACTTGACTATGAAAGCCAAATAAAGAAATTTTTAAAATAAAAATTAACTCACCTTCTGAGTCCTCAACCATTTCATGTTTAAGAGCCTTTGTTCCATCAAAACAAAAAGCCCTGATGGAATTCAAACCCAACAGCAAAGCATTCTGCTTTATTTTTTCTATTTTGCTGGATATTTTATCCAGTGCTATTACTTCTCCCTAAAATAAATAATTACATAAATAAAAGTGAGTTCAAAGAGATTATAAAAATTGTTAGTAAGTTTAACAATGAATATTAAAATAGTGAACTGGGTGGGGGGAAGGGAGGGCAAGGGAGGAAAATGTGGAACACTGAATGAATGAAAATCTAACTTCTCTGTAAATGTTAAAAACACAAAATAAAATTTTATGTTTTAATAAAAATGTAATAAAAACTCAAGAAAAATTAGTCTTTTCCCCATTCATACCATCACCTCTAGTTTTAAAGCTAAGTTCATTAATCAAATCCTCATCTCAGTAGTTTCGTGGCTATGCTGTTGTTGTTGGGACAGCTGAGTCTAGACTGACTCATAGCTGATTCTCAAGTTTTCAAAGGCTATAAATCACAAGGGAAGAGATTGCATCTTTCTTTCTTTGAGCTCCTGGTGAATTTAAAACCACTTGTCTCTGAGTTGGCAGTACAACTCCTGACCACTTAACCAACTAACATGCATAGTCCACAAAGAAAATGTTAGGTGTACTTCAGTGAGTAGTGACTAGGGTCTCAGATGCTTTAAAGCAGCCATCTAAGGTACAGCTGCTATTGCTCTCTTCCTACCTGGAACAAAGAAGAAGGAAGAAAAACAAAGATGTATAAAAACAATTCATCTAAAAAACTAATGAGCTTGTGAACTTCATCTTCCACAACCCTGAGAACAGAAGAACTACATGGTGCCCAGCTAACACTGCTGATATTCTAAAAGGAATCACAGTACAAATTCAGGCACAGGGGGTTGGGGAAGGTGGAGAATGTGAACAATGGAAAGGGGCCAGGCCAACTGGTCCAACAGAGACTGGTAGAACCCCAAAGACTATGGCCCTTAGTCAATCTCAGAATCTAGAATAAGCTCATTCTAATGGTTCAGCTTTCAGGTAAACAACAGACAGCAATAGTGAAAATAATGCCAGAGAGGCACTTAGTTTTTAGAATGACCATATAGAGTTAAAATAGTGGTGTTTGCACAAGGAAGAAGTGCTGAAGCCAGGAAAGGGTAAGATAGAAGAACCATTGGAAATGAAAATGAGACAAAGTAGATGAGTGCCATTATATTATATAATTAATTTTATAAACACAATGCACATGGATGTTTGGAGAGAAGACTAATTTGCTTTGTCAAATTTTCACTCAACTTTCAATTTTAAAAGAAATCAATATGCCATATAGTTAATTCATTTATTTATTAACTCTCTTCACTAGAATATATGCTCATATAAGGTGGAAATTTTTACTATCATGACTCATTATTATATCTCCCTTCAGTCATTGGCTCAAAGCAGACATAAATACCCGTTTGATCAATCAAATCACTCGCTCACTCACTGCCTTCAGATGTGTTCTGACTCACAGCGACCCTCCATTGGCTTTCTCTGACTCACAGTGACCCTTCATTGGCTTTCCAAGGCTATAAATCCTAACAGAAGACTGCATATTTTTCTCCTAGGGAGTCACTGATGATTTTGAACTACAGGATACACACAACCTCTTGAATAGCAAGCAGCAGTACAGCTCACCACAGATTGTACCACCAGAGCTCTCCAAACAAGTAAGTAATCACAGTATGATTCCAGAGAGAAAACACTGCTGTGGGTGAAGATACAAGTATGTGCAAGAATTTTAAAAACTCTACTTTTACATGAAGCAACTCCTGATTGTCTGAGGGAAGAATTTTAAACTATATTAACAGGTTTATGATTCAGGTTGGTCTTGAGACACAGTCTTCATAAATAATAATTGCTTATTGAATTGAATATATGATGAATGACATCTGTGGATAATCTTCACGTTGAATCTGTACATATTTAGATCATGAATGTCTACATAGTGGTTCATTGTTACACAAAGTTCTACCTTCTATACGGAAATATAGAATACATGAAGTAGATGTGCTATGAAGTCAATCTCACCTGATCACGCATTAATGTTGCAATGTGTGTGGTTTTGCCTCCTGGTGCTGCACACAAGTCTAGAACCTTTTCTCCAGGTTGAGGATTCAAAACATGAGCTACTACAGCAGATGGCAAATTCTGTATGGGTGGGGGGGAACAAACACAGAAAATAATAAATTGGCAATTACTCTAAGTCATCTTTAATTTCAGAATCAGAAAACAATACAAGGATCCTTATGTCCACCAAGATTAAATAAACAATGTTGGGAAATTCACAGTATCCTAGAGTATCCTACAGGATTCATTAAGAGTATCATACAGGATTCCTGTCAATCTAGGCTTTCTTCTCTCATAGTATTTTATGGGTATTTCATATTATGAATTGAATTATGTTTCCCAAATATATGTGAAAGTTCAAATTCCATAAGAGTTTGTAAATAGCTTTTTTTATATTAATGAGTGCATTAGGATGGGTCCTAAATGAATAAGAGGGTCCTAAACCTAATTGCTCCTTTAAAAATTTTTTATTATCAAATCTATAGAATATTTAATATTCTTCATCAGTGGCATAATTCTAATGCATCTTCTTCAGTCTTCTTAGTTATTGCCCAGTGTTCCTATGCTTATTAGATGACTGAAAATACCATGGCTCCTCATGGTAACATCTCAGTGCTTTTTTGCTTTTTAACACATTAAAGAGATCTTTTGTGGCAGATTTGCCCAATGCTCAATCCATCATTTGATCTTTTGGCTTCTGTCTTCATGGGTGTTGATCCATGTAAATGGATCCAAGTAAAATGAAATCCTTGACAATGTCAACATTTTCTCCATTTATCATGAGGTTGCTTATTGGTCCAGTTATGGAAATTTTTGTTGTTGTTAAAGTGTAATCTATGTCGAAGGCTGCTGTCTTTGATCTCTGTTTGTGTTTCAAGTTCTCTACACTTTCAATTAGCAATGTTATGTCATCTGCACATCACAATGTGATGAGTCTTCCTCTAAAATTTATGCCGCAGTCTCTACATAGTCCCACTTAATGATTTCCTCAGAATATAAACTAAATAAGCATGGTAAAAGGATATAACCCTGGAAAAGTATACCTTTACTGCTTTTTAAATTAATAACACTTATAAGTAAAAAATGGTATGTTTTCAAACAAATATAACTATATATTAAAAACCGTTTTTGTATCATGCCGTAAGTTGGGAATTTGAAACAGTCCACATAAAGAAACTCCATTAAATATTCAAGTTATGATGACACAAGCTTCCAAAAAAATTTCTTTTTTTCCCTATTGTTATTTCTCAATCCTAGCTGTATAATAGAATCACATACTAAGCTTATAAACAAGTTCCTCACATAGAACAGTTAAATTAGAATTTCAGGCAACTAAGCTTTTAAACTAGAAAATCACCAGGTATCTGAAAATTCAAACACCTTTTTTTCCCTTCCAGTTAACATAAGTATAACTTTAGAAACAGCTATAGGTAACTGTAAAACCTTTAATTGGTTATTATTGTAATTAAATTGTGAATAGCATCTAAGACTCTTTTTATAATTCTGTGAATTGTGTTTAAACAACTGAAAAGATTCTTTTGAGGTTCTGAAAAACTAAATAATATTCCACAGTTGCACTTTTATCGTGTGCAACATGCTCTTTAAGTTTATAAAAGATATCCTGCGGTAACTTTAGTTATTAGAATTTAATATAATTAGCTATTACTAACCACTTCCTTTAAGAAACACAATGGGAAGTGGGAAGCTTATATATTATTTGTTTGGAGCAAGAAAGAAAGCAGGTTTGGGAATAATATTTGTTCAAGAAAAGGCAAGGCAAGAAGCATTTATGTACATTAACCCCCAAAGGCACATGGTTAAATCCAACAGATGCTCCTCTGGAGGAGGAGGAGCAATCTCCTCCTGTGCCAGTCAGATCTGATTTGAAGGTACACAACAAAAAGGGGAGGGGGAAAGAGACATTTATACACACATATACCTTAGAGACCATCCCAAGAGAAAGTATATCATTTTACTTATCCTGTTTATTAATTTGGGCAATACTGTAGAATGAAAGAAGGCTACTAGTTATCAGGTTCATATACTGACTATGTTTCTTTGTACTATAGTTTCTTTAGTCTCACAGACTACAAAATCAATTAGCTACTGAGCATTATTCAAAGAATCATATCAATTTTCTTAAGTTATAAGCCAGTGCAGCCTTTAAATAGCACATTAAAAACACCTAGTAAACTGCCAAACCTAACAAAGGAAAAGCAAAATTTAGCATCAATTGATGACTAATAAAAAAATAGGTATGCATAAAATTTAAAATGTCATATTACATCAGGACTTGGCTCATGATTCATGCATGTATTTTAATAAAAACTAATTACTGTTATATATTACTATAATTCAACCATGAATTAGATTAAAAAAAAGCAATATATCAAAACAAATAGACAATAAATGGAAGTGGTATATTAAAGCTACTTAGAGAGTTTACTAGGTCCTTACTATATTATGTCAAGAAGCCATTTGACAAAATGATCTCTACATTAATCCTAGTTTCTTACTGATTTTTAACATTCAGAATCAAAACAGTATGTTGTTGTTGTTGCTACGTGCCGTCGAGTCGCCTGCGACTCATAGCGAACCTATGTACAACAGCCCGAAACTCCGCTCTTTCCTGTGCCAATCGCACTGTCTCTGACACTCCCATCCCAATTATCCCAGTCACTGAATCAATCCACCTCATAGAGGGCCTTCCTCTCCTGCGCTG